AAAAATAAATAAAATATTAAAAAAGGACACATAACTTCCAGAAGAAAGAGGAAGTGCAATTAATCTCTGTGAAGAGTTCAAAGCACTTCCCCTCCCAATGCAGCTGGATGATGGATCAGTGCATCTTTCTCTCGTGGAGAGCTGCTGCAGACTGTGGTGGTCAAGATGCTGGACGCTTATGTCTGACTGACACACAGGTTCCACTACATGTGACCTTGGGTAAGTTACCTGCCTGCTTTGGCCTGAGTTTCCCTACCTGTAAAATGAGAGTAATATCAAGAACACCCCGTTGAAGACAGGAATTCTTTCTCTCTCTTGCTTTGAACCATATGAAGACACACCAAGAAGGTTCAGGGTGGCAGGAATGTTTGGGGCTGGGGTTGGGATATGGCTTTGGACATCCACATCCATCTTTCATTGGAATGTCTGCATTGTTTTGAGACCCAGAACCAATTCCATTCCAATTCCAGCTTCCTGGTATTGCACATCCTGAGAAGAAGCAGATGATAGCTTATATACTTCTGTTCCTGCATTCTGGATTTCTGGCTTTGGTTTGACCCAGCCCCTGGCTGAGTGTGAATGAAATGGTGGACAGGAACATTCATTTTCTCTCTCTCTCTTGTTTTCGCTCTCTGCCTTCAAAATAAAATGGAGATTACTGTTTTAAAGATTTTTTTTAATTGGAAAGGTAGATTTAAAGGGAGAAAAACAGCGAGAATGATCTTCCATCATTGGTTCACTCCCCAAGTGAAGTTGACCAGAGCTAGGCTGATCCAAAGCCAGGAACCAGGAGTCTCCTCTGGGTCTCCCACACGCAGGTGCAGGGTCCCAAGGCTTTGGGCCATCCTTGACTGCTTTCCCAGGCCACAAGCAGGGAGCTGGATGGGAAGTGGGGCAGCTGAGAGAAAAACAGTGTCCATGTGGGATCCTGGTGCTTGCAAGGCAAGGATTTAGCCAACTGAGCTATTGCACTGGGTCCATCATATATTCTTCTGTCCCCGAATGAAGCATTCAGAGACGGTTCTCATTGGACAGCCACCAGAATTTCTGCTTTAAGAAACAATATAGCACATCATTCCAACCAAATGTCCTGGCTCTGAGTCCATGAATATTGTATAGCCTTCTTATAATAGCTTACTGTGTTGAGTTTCTTTTATTTGTCTGAATGTCAGAGTTACAAAGAAAGGGAGAGAGGTTTTGCATCCACTAGTTCACACCCCAGATAGCTGCAATGACCAGTTGGGCCACAACAAAGCCAGAAGCTGGATCTCCATCTGGGTCGCCCACATGAGTAGCTGGGGCGCAAACACTTGGACCATACTCCACTGTTTTCCTAAAGTATATTAGCATGGAGTTGGAGGGGAAGTGGAATAGCCAGGACTTGAAATGCTGGCATCACAAATGGAGAGTTAATATGCTGTGACACAACACTGGCTCCTCTGTTGCATTTCTCACCTAGAGTGTGCTGAGATCCAAACTTCAGTGTTCTGCATGATACATATCTGTTGAGGTTGGTTAGCACAACGCATCCCTTAGTCTCTAAAGCATTGGGAGCGATGAAAACTAGCTTCAGAGACTCTATAGCTAAGGACTTCATGTGGTTGTTTGTCCTTGTGTGTCACCCCATCACACCTGCCAAGACCTCCAGGGAAGGCCTGCATGGATAGGCTTCTTTTTAGTGTTTATTTGGCTGGAAGACTCTTTCTTAGGACCAGCTGACCTCACTGGCAGCATAGAGATCAGATCCTCACTTTATTCCGCACTGGACTCTAAAAGGCTGACTAAATTCTACATCCTGTACGGGTCTCAGTCAAATGTTATAGCAGCCCCTCTACCATCTTTCTTTTCTTGGATAGAGGAGTGTGTGTTTATAAAAAATGGAAAGCCTTTGTGCAGTTCTTGGTTTCATTTGATCGTAGCCAAAAAGCCGAGAAGCGATTAGTTCTTGGTTTCAAATAAGCTCAAGTAGAATGGTGAACTGTAACATGTGCAAAGTCAACTGGAACTGGAGAAGTTTCCTGCACCACTGCAGATCCAGTTCCTTCGTCATCGCATCATCACACCATGCCTATAGCTTGGGTCCACTCATTTTGGTACCTCTGGCCACAATAGCTGGAGCTGAGCTGATCTGAATCCAGGAGCCAGGAGCTTCTTCCAGGTCTTCCACACAGGAGCAGGGTCCGAAAGGTTTGGGCTGTCCTTTGCTTTCCTAGGACACAAGCAGGGAACTAGATGGGAAGTGGAACACCTGCAACATGCACTGGTACCCATATGGGATCCCAGTGCTTAGTGGTAGAGGATTAATAAGTCAAGCCATTGCATTGGCCCCCTGCCATTCTCATTTCTCACCTCATTTCCTACCCTTGCTGCCTAACTTTTATGATTCCTCTTTTCCTGTTTTTCAATCAGCAATAATTGTGCCTCGAATAAGCCTCACTGGCGACAATACTGCCACAAAACAAAGCTACTTTTCTTTTATTAAATCTGTTCTTTAGAGAATTTTCCTTTTACGATCATTGCTTTATTGTAATATATTCATCCATTTAAAGCACATAAGGAAACAGGTTTTAGTATATTCATAGGATTGTAAATCCATCACCTCTATCTAATTTTAGAACAATTTCATTATCCCTTCCCTACCTCTCCAAAAACAAAGCAGTCAATCCCCATTCCCATGTTCTCTTAGCCTCGGACACCCACTGGTCTCCTTCCCTTCTCTAGTCTATTCTTGGCATTTCACATAAGTGAAGCACACTGGGTATCTCTTTTTGTGTCTTGCTTCTTTCCCTTAGAATCATGCTTTCACTGCCTGTCTATGGTAGCATGTACCAGCACTTCATTCCTTCTTATGGCCAAATGATTTTCCATTGCAGAGACATACCATGGTTGACATTTTCACCAGCAACGTATGAGAATTTAATTTCTCCATATCCTCAACACCACTGATTATTGTCTATCTACATGTGTTTTGTTGTTTTCATTTAATTGAGAGAGAGAGAGAGAGAGAGAGATTCCATCCAATGGTTCACTTCCCAAATGCCCACAATATTCACCAGGTCAAAATGAGAAACCTCATCCCAGTCTTCCTCACAGGTGGCAAGATACAAGTTCTTGAGCCATCATCTACTGCCTCCCAGGATATGGATTAGCAGGAAGCTGGACTCCTAAGAGGCAGGAATTCGGAGTTATAACTGTGGCATATCAGGCTAGGCCTCTGCCTGTGGCACCAGCATCCTATATGGGTGCCTGTCACTGTCCTGCAGCGATGGACTTGGTGCACGGAGCCTATAATAACACGCGTGGACCCTGACTGATGGTCAAAAGCCGAAGTTTATTAGGGGCATCAGACTTTATACACTGAGAGTCCATATGGGATAAGGAAGGAAGTATTGAGCTCATCAACAAACCCATCAACTGTTTCCCTACTCTTGATTGGAATTCCTTTTATTCCACTAGGTGTTCTCATTCACATGCTGTTTATACAAAAGGTAGCCATTTGGTTGTTCTCATGCAAATACTGTCCAATGAACTGCAATCCTGTGCTCCCTGACCTTCCAGGGTCACAATGTCCTCCTACAGGTGCCTGTTTGAGTTCCAGTGGCTCTTCCAGTAGAGCTCCTTACCTGTGGCCTGAGAAGGCAGTGCAGGATGATCTAATTCCTTTGGCCTCTGAACCCAAATGAAAGTTCCTAGCTCCGAGCTTCAGACAAGTCCAGCTTTGATTACTGTGGTCATTGGGAAATGAACCAGCAGATGGAGGCTCTCTCTGTCTCTCCCTCTTTCTCTGTAACTCTGCCTTTAGAATAAAAATAAATAGGGCCCCGCAGCGTGGCCTAGCAGCTAAAGTCCTCGCCTTGAACACATCAGGATCCCATATGGGCGCCAGTTCTAATCCCAGCAGCTCCTCTTCCCATCCAGGCTCTCTGCTTGTGGCCTGGGAAAGCAGTAGAGGAAGGCCCAAGACCCTGCACCTGCGTGGGAGACCAGGAAGAAGTTCCTGGCTCTTGGCTTCGGATCGGGCAGCACCAGCCGTTGTGGTTCACTTGGGGAGTGAATCATCGAAGGGAAGATTTTCCCTTCTCTCCTCCTCTCTGTATATCTGACTTTGTAATTAAATAAATAAATCTTTAAAAAAAGAATAAAAACAAATAAATAACTCTTAAAAAAAAAAAAAAGAGCCAGAGCTCATACCTCGGTACTCCCCATCCACATTTCTCAGTTCCAACTTCATCTCCATAGTTATAGCTGGGTTTCCTTGATTGTTCTAAAGCAGGTTCTCCATCTCATCTCATTGATGTTCTTTATCACCTCATTTTATTTTCTTCTGAGCCTTAACTATATGCCTGTTTCTATTCCACAATTTTGTTTTGCATCTGCCCTAGAATATTGTACACATATAGGTCACAAGTGACATTGGTGGAAACTAGAATTGCAATTAGAAGGAACTTTAGAAATCTGCTGGATAACCATTCTAATTCTACTGATGCAACTAAGATCCGAAGAGGGTGAAAGATTTCTCTGGGGACAGGATTAGTACATAGCAGATTCTGAGGATGCCAATTTCCAGGACAGCTTCTTTTTCAGACTTTATACTGACTTGCCTTACTTCAATGTTATGTTAATTTATTTTTTACCCAAAACGACTAAAAGGAACGTCTTCTTGGTCTTGAGGTTTTTTTACTTTTTTATTTTTCAAGCCTGTCTTACTAAAATACGTGGACTTGGTCCTCCAATTGAAGGGCTCACATTCCCTCCTCAGGCAGTACTGGGGTCCCTGCTTGTCTCTTCTATCTGAACCCCCTTTTTGGTTCTTCTGCCTCGCCCTTCCTCTCCCTTTCTTACCCATAAGCCTCTGGTCGCCGCTCACCCCAGGAAGCTCCGCCCCCTTCAGGGTTGAGTTGCCTTAATCCAAGATGGTGCCAGGTGCTTCGGCTCCAGCGGAAGTGAGGTCACACCAGTCCGGAAGGGAAGGCGGGGAGAGAGCTGGCGGGTGGGTCACCCGCTGTGGGGCTGTGGGTGGGGCGGTGGCCGGGAGTCTGGCGATCGTAATTGGGGCTGGAACGAGGGCCACGACGAGGTCCATTCTTGGGAACCCTATCGAGGGGTCGGGGCCCGGGCCAGGGGCGTTGGAGGAAGCCGCCGCGAGCAACACGCCTCTGGCCCCAGAAGAGACCGCTCTAGAAGCCGGCTTCCCGCCCCCGGCGGCCTCCGTGCTCGACCCTCCTGCCGGCTCAGCCGCGGGGGCTGCGGCGCCGGGCGCCCAGTGGGCTGACCGGGCCACGCTGAGGACCGGCCGCACGAGAAGCGGCCGCGCGGCGGGTCCGTCCCTCAGCCCGGAGGTCAGGCCACGGCTGCCCTGTCGGTGGTCCACCGCCCTGAGCCCAGCCCCCTTGGCTGGCCAGCCAGCGACCTCCCTGCACGCCTGCCTCTCTGAAGATGCTTCCAAGCCCTGTCGCTGGGTGATTTTTTCTTTCTTCTTTTCCTTTTTTTTTTTTTTTTTTGGCCTGCAGATTTAAAGGATAGCTGTCTTCCCTCTGGAAAGTTCAACTTGAGTGGGAATGCGTAATCTTTCTTGGACCTTCCGACGTTCCCGGCTTCCAAGCGCCGACTGATCTAGTAACTGGGATCCCATTCAGATCACACGCGCACACACACACAAAAGAGCAGAGTTGTTCTCTTGCACTCAACAAGGGCAGATGGACTTCGGAATTAAGATGCAGGGCGGTGAGCCCGTGTCGACCCTGAAAGTCTCGGAGAGCGAAGGCAAGCTGGAGGGCCTGACCACCGCCGTGATCCCGAACAAGAACAGCAGCAACAGCAGCTGTGGGGGCGGCGGCCTCAGCAGCAGCAGCAGTAGCAGCAGTGGCCGTGGTGGTGGCAGCGCAAAAGGCTGGCAATACAGGTAAGGGGGGGGGTGGGGAACCCTGCTCCCCCAGGGGCTGCAGGAGCACCTGCCTGCCAACTTCCCATTAGTTCTCGTCCTTGGGAGCTGTGGACTCCCTTTGCAGGAGCGAGAGTGGATTCCTTGTCGTTGGTCTCTTCAACAGGTATTTCTGGAGGGCGTTTGAGGGGCGGGAGGGCAATACAGAAAATGACATGCCACAGCCCTCAACTTCCCCACTCCACAGCCGGAGTGAATGCGGCTCTCGGATTTCATTCTCAACTCCTGTTGGTGCTCGTGGGTCCTTGTTTACCAGCCTGCCTTCTCTCACAGGATCCCACCCCTCCACCCCCCCCAGAACGGGAACTGTACACAGAGCCCACCCACTTTGAGGGTCTCACACCCTGTTTGTCAGTTGGTGGAGTGGTCAAATCACGATTCTCAGAAGGGGAGGTGAATGGACATGAATGGACTACAGAGGGCAAGGTGGGCAGATCCTGGGGATGTCCCCCGTTTGAGTGGGCCAGGCTGAGTGGAAGGCACATTTTGTGTTAACTTTTTTTTAATGAAAAAGAATGAAAAAAGTAAGGCACAGCATGACAAGTCCTGGAGGAGCAAGGCAAGTGTATGTGTCTGTATGGGGAGGGAAATAACATCTGGAGTTTTAAGAATGAATGAAATCAGGGCATTCCGTGGTATTGGAACCGAAAGGATGAATGCTGAGGTAACTGTGTGAAATTTGGGCAGAGTTGAAGCCCAGGTTGTGGAGGAAGCTGATCATTTGTCCCGAGTAGTGCTTGTCTGTGTGGAAATCGCATTAACTGTGTTACCACAGAGAAGAGAAACAGTGTGGAAGGTTAAAACTAGGAGAGGAGGGTGCATCACGGTGACCGAAGGTCCTAGGCTCACTCTGAGAATCAGTGCGATCCTTTCGCTTATGTGTGTGGTTGAAGACCAACCCTTTCAGATTATCAGCTGCTTGGCAGCTGATATTTGGATGCATAACTTAAGGAAGCAAGGGAAAGTAGAATTCCACAAGATAGGGGGTCTGATCCCCTTAACACTTTGCAAGCCCGTCTCAGTTAAATTGGAAAGCTGTCGTTTAATTTGGAACCATGGTGACTCTTGTTTATGGTATTACTTAATAGTTACATAATTTTTAAACCCGAATCTGCTGGAAGCACAAATGAAAAAGGCTATTAGGAGAAGAATGACAGAGGAAATGGCAACCGACAAAGTAGGACGTTAAATGAAGATTTGAAAAATTAGCATGCAGTCTTAGCTGCGTTGCTTCTCGGCGCAGTAACATGGTCACAGTGACCTTAAGTCCGACAGGAGAGCACATTCTGTCTAAGTAGGCATAATCAATGGGGAATAATTTCAAATAAAATAGCATTAAAACATGCGTAAGTGTCTGGAAAATTCACTTATGCAGGCTCTACCCCGAGGATGAAGATAAATAAGGCATTACAGCACTTGCACAGTGGCTTGTGTTTAGATTTTGATGTGGCTAATGTTACTATTCCAGGCTGATTCTTGCAGCCAGCTCTCAATTTCATCCACTTTCCTTGTCCTCTAGCACCCTGATTAAACACTCTTACTTGCTGCTTCCCTGAGGTCTGTTGACCTTAAAAACAAAGCAACAACCCTAGCAAAAACAACCAAATTCTTTCCTCCTCAGAGTGATTTACACTCACTGCCTGCTTTCCTTACCTCTAGTTTATCTCCCTACCATAGCGGTGGGCTCTGTTTTCACCAAGGAACAATGAATGTTTTTATTTTATTTAAAATTTTTTTAGAAGTCATCAAGCTTGCAAAGGTTAATGAAGGGAATATACTTGACAAGTCAGGTGACACCAGGAAAGAACCGAGAGCCTGGTGTGTCTTCGGACTAGAGTATTTAATGCATATGGGTCCACTGTGTCTCCTTCCCTGCCCCTCTTCTTATGGGATTCTGTGTTGGAGGGGACAGTGGACAGTGCTTTCTGGGCATGAAGTTTCATGAAATTTCTCCTGAGGTTTTATCAGCACAGTGTTCCTGAACTAAATAGTCCTGCCCTGGCACAAGGCTGAGGGAGGGCTGGGACCCACCTTCAAGGTTATTGGATATGGGCAAGACTTCTGATTGTAAAAGCTGGGCTGCTGCCAGGGCTTATTCTCTTGTATTCAAGTTTCTTCCCTCAGTCAACCACCAGAACTTACTATGTTTGCTCTTTGGCCCCTCTCACAAATAAGCTGATTTCTTTTTTTTTCCTAAAGATTTATTTTTATTATTTTTTTTATTGGAAAGGCAGATATACAGAGAAGAGAGACAGAGAGGAAGATCTTCCGTCCAATGATTCACTCCCCAAGTGAGCGCAACGGACCGATATTATGCCGATCCGAAGCCAGGAGCCTCTTCTGGGTCTCCCACGCGGGTGCAGGGTCCCAAGGCTTTGGGCCGTCCTCTGCTGCTTTCCCGGGCCACAGGCAGGGAGCTGGATGGGAAGTGGGGCTGCCAGGATAGAACCGGCGCCCATATGGGATCCTGGGCGTGCCGGGCCCAAATAAGCTGATTTCTACAAATCCTTTCTCACAGTCATCCCTCAAGAGAAGTAATTGGAACTAGTGTAAAGTGTGTCTTCTGCACCTTCTTCAGGCTAGCATTTGGGTGTAGAGTTGGTTCTTGCTGTGTGTCCTGTGGTCTTCACGTAGTCTGGGAGGAATGACCTGCAGGAGCAAGAGGGTTGGCCATATATTCCAGTGGGATAGCTGAAATATGCTGTTAGGCCAAAAATTCCAGCCCTATTTGGCTTGGTCTTAGAGTTGTCTGGTTTTGTTCAGTTTGATCCAAAATCAATACTTTTTTTTTCTTGTTTAAGGATTTACTTGTTTAGTTGAAAGGCAGAGTTATAGACAATGAGGGACAGAAAGAGGTATGGGAGGGAGAGACAGAAAAAGAACCATTCAATGCAATGGGCAGCTTCCCAAATGGTCACAAAGGCTGAGCTGGGGCCAGGCCAAAGGCAGGAATTGGGAGCTGCTGCTTTTTTTTTTTAATTATTTAAAAAAAATTATTCTTATTTTTTATTTTTACATGGTTGATCAGGGTAGGACAGATCAAGAATCAGGGAAAAGTAGATGTGGTCATTGTTTCTTCTTCCTGTGTCTGGGGAAAAAGGGAAAACAGGAGAAGCCATACTGACATTGGGGACTGGCCACCCAACATTAACCCAAGGTCCCCGATGTGGCACATGCTCCAAGGAGTTTCCCACATGGTTTTGATAACTCTGAAATGCTGTCGATCCCACTGATCCAAGAATGAGGAAACTGTTCCAATGTCCATTAGCTGACATAGTCAACTTTAGAGTCTCCATTTGCCCAGTTGTTTGCTGTCATTGTTTGACTGGGGTAGTTGTCCAGTTTGTTCTGTCCTCCTTCTTCTGCTGTGGTACCAGATGTTCTCTGCTGACCCCAGTGGACTGAGGAATAGAAGCTTCTGTGTGTGTGGTGGGTCCCAAACACTTGGGCCATCTTTTTGTTTCTTTTTCCGGGTTGAGTATGAGGGAGCTGGACTGGAAGCAGAGCAACTGGTACACAAATCAGTTCCCATGTAGGATGTTAGCATCACAGGCAGCAGCCTACCTTGCCTTGCCACAATGTGGGCCCCCAAAGCCAACATTCTTCATATAGGATGGCTCAGATGCCTCTTGGGGCAGCAGTTAGCACATCTAAGTCCTGCCTGTTTTTGAAGAGCTGGGCTTGGTAACTCTAGCACAGGGGCCCCAGTCCTGGCATCTGTTAACTAGGTGAAGGTGGTGGTTTATTCTCTTTCCCTAGGGAGGGGGTCCTTGTTTTGTCTTGCTCTTGAGAGCCTGCTCTGGGGCTTTCATGTAGGCATCCATAATCTGCAATATCCTGTTAGTCCCAGAAATGCTAGAGATGTCTTAAGGTGATAGGACTGAGAATTTACTGCATAGTTTGTACCCACTCTAGGGCCAGTTCCTGCTCCCAGAGGGCAGGATAAGTCCAAGAGTTTACCTCCTGGCTCATGTGTCAGTCTTTTTCCTTGGGTACCTAATGGCCACATTCTGTTAGGAATTTAAGGGTGCTAGTCAGACACCCAAAACTGGAGTCTCAGGTAAGGACAGATTGAATGCTTTTTATATCATCTTCCCTCAGTGGTGGTCCTTCAGGTCTTTTACAAGGGCCCATTCAGATATACACGGGCCCACCTATGTGTAAATCCTTGTGTCCTAATTCAGTGTAACTTTATGCCCTGTATGCTAACCCATTTAAAGGCAAATTGTGCCAGGAGGTGCCCTTTTTTAAAGATTTATTTATTTTTATTGGAAAGGGATTTGCAGAGAGATGGAGAGACAGAGAGAAATATCTTCTATCCATTAGCTCACACCCCAAATGGAGACAATGGCCAGAGCTGAGCTGATCTGAAGCCAGAAGCCAGGTCGCCCACACGGGTACAGAGGAGTCCCAAGACTTTGAACCATCCTCTACTGCTTTCCCAGGCTATGAGCAGGGAGCTGGGTGGGTCTCCCTGCTCCAGCTGAGACATGAACTGGCACCCATATGGGTTGTTGGTGCTTACGGGTAAGGGAATTGAGTCACTCTGCCAGCAGCAGAAGGGGCTTTTAAGGCTTAATAATAGCCAAGTGGGGTTTGAAAATTTGACTAGATGTGTCAGAGGCTCTGTCTCGTGGGGTTCTGCAGGGCCTGGGATGAGAAATGGCAGTAGTGGAAATCTGGCTGCCTTCGGGGGTAGAGAAGATTAGCTTGGTTCCTAACTGGTTTAGAACATCCCTTCCAGCAGCAGAGAGGGGTGCATGAATTGCCATAGGGAAGGCACCCTATTGACTCCCATTTTCTGGTCATTGAGAAGGGAGTTGGCCCAAAAAGAAGATTAGGACAGAATAGGCAGTTCCTGTAACCTAAAAGAAAATTTGCAGTGCTACCTGCCACTTCAGCAGCAACCTTTGGCCCCATCCCCTCAATAGTGATGGTTGGCCCAGCGTGGTAGCCTAGCAGCTAAAGTTCTCGTCTTGAACACACCAGGATCCCATATGGGCGCCAGTTCTAATCCTGGTGGCCCTGCTTCCCATCCAGCTCCCTGCCTGTGCCCTGGGAAAGCAGTCAAGGATGACCTAAGGCCTTGGGTCCCTACACCTACTTGGGAGAGCTGGAAGAAGCTCCTGGCTCCTGGCTCCTGGCTTCGGAATGGCACAGCTCCAGCTGGTGCAGCTGCTTGGGGAGTGAATCATCGGATGGAAGATCAAAGATAGTGATGGTCAAGTTGGGAGGGGGGTGGTGTGAAGGACCTTTTCCGTGTAGGGCCAGCAAAGACTGCAAATCTTACATGGGCAGGGCTTTCGTAGGGGCTAGCTTTGTTATGAAAGCTGTTTGCCCAAAGCTCTATATTCCCTTATCAGTAGCATGTGGTGGTTGTGGAGTTCCTGGCCTTGATGGCAGATTACTAGGGAAGGCTCCTGTCAGCTGGGCCTGCCGTCTATTTTTCCATAACTTCTTATGCCTAGCCCTTACTCTTCTTGCTTCTGATTAGAGTGGAGGCAGTTTCTAGGATGTTAGCCACAGTGGGGGTATTTGATTCTATCCCTAGGTGTTGAAGCTTTTTCTACTATCAGGGGCAGCCTGAGTTAGAAATATGCAGTCATGGACATGTTCTGCTACTGTTTCTTATGGGTTTAGATGATGTCTAAGAATTATGTCCTCCTACATGCACCCAGACACAGTGACCACCTTAAGCAACTTGCCTGTGAATTTCTGGAGGTCATCAGTAAAACTTCCTCATTCATTTGATTAATAAAGAGCACTTCTGTCCATTGACTGCACCCAGTAGTATAGATTTGGCTGTAAAATAATATTATAATTTAAGCTCCCATTTTCTGGCCATGATTCTTGAACCTCTAATTTATGCTGTTTCTGGGCTGTGTTACAGAAAAAGGTTAGTGATTCTCCTTTATTGTTGTGCGGTCCAACCGAGTGGCCATTTGTGTGCTCTCGTTCTCTCCCAGCTGAGTCTGCCAATGATACTATCAGCCTTGGCTGGGGTGGAGGTTGTCTTGGCATAAGAAAAGAATTTCAGGACCAGCACTTTGGTGCAGCACATTATACCCCCACGTAGAGCACCAGCATCCAGTATGGGATCTGGTTCAAGTCTCAGCTGCTCTACTTCCAATCCAGCTTCCTCCTAATGTGCCTGGCAAAGCAGAAGAGGATGGCTCCAGTCCCTGGCCCCCTGGACCCATGTGGAAATAAATAAATTTTAAAAAAAGAAAATTTCAGATGTGAGACAGAGATCAGCATTAAGTATACCAGCAATATTTATTGAGGAGAATATACCTGGCAGGATAGGTGGGCATCTCAGTAAAGAACTGAAAGCTGCTGACTGTTCTTATATATAATTTTTCAAATATTTATTATCTCTTTGAAAGACACAGTTGCAGAGAGAAAGGAAAAAGAAAGAGAGAGAGAGATCTTCCATCCGGGTTCACTCTCCTAACAGTTGCAACAACCAAGGACAGACCAGGTTGAAGCCAAGAACCATGAACTTCATCCTGGTCTGCCACATGGGTGGCAGGGCCCAGGTACTTGGGTCATCTCCCGCTGCCTTCTCAGGACATTAGCAGGAGGTAGATTGGAAGTAGAGAAGCCAGAACTCAAACTGGCATTCTTACATGGGATGTAAGAATTAAGTGGCAGTATAATCTGTACCACAATTCCAGACCCTATTTTTAGTTTCTTTTGTTTGTTTATTTTTTGGTTTTAGATCCTTAATCCACTAATTTCTCAATATATATACTGTTCAAGTTTTTTTTCTTTAATTTTTATTTTATTTTTTATTGGAAAGTCAGATACGCAGAGAGGAGGGGAGAGAGAGAGAGAGGAAGATCTTCCGTCTGATGACTCACCAAGTAACTGCAATGGCTATTTGGTGCTGTGCCACTCCAAAGCTAGGAACCTGAACCCTCCTCTGGGTCTCCCATAGGATGCAGGGACCCAAGGCTGTGGGCCATCCTCCACTACTTTCCCAGGACACAAGCAGGGAGCTGGATGGGAAGCGGGGGCTGCCAGGATTAGAACCGGCACCCATATGGGATCTTGGCACATTCAAGGCAAGGACTTTAGCCACTAGGCTACCATGCCAGCCCTTGTCTGTCAGTTATGTCTTCACTTTTTATACTGTTCATGCCTCAGTTTTATTGGTTGGCTTTTCTTTTCCTTTAAATCAAGGATGGAGAATGTCTAGCCTGTGGGCTGCAACAGGCTCTGAAATCCTTTAGTCTAGCTGGCCTTTCCGATTGGGACTCAAAATTCAGTAAATGTCTAGCAGGCTAATTAAAAAAAATTATTTTATTTTTATTGAAGACTCAGATATACAGAGAGGAGGAGAGACAGAGAAGATCTCCCGTCCGATGATTTACTCCCCAAGTGACTGCAATGGTCAGTGCTGTGCCAATCAGAAACCAGGAGCCAGGAACTTTCTCTAGATCTCCCATATGAGTGTTGGTTCCCAAGGCATTGGCCCATCCTTGATTATCTTCGTAGGCCACAGGCAGGGAGCTGGATATGAAGTGGGGGCTGCTGGGATTAGAACCAGCACCCATATGGGATCCTGACACATTCAAGGCAAGGACTTTAGCCCCTAGGCCACCATGCTGGGCCCAATAAATCTTAAAAAGAAATTGCATTTAAAAAAAAGATTTTTATTTATTTTTATTGGAAAGTCAGATATACAGAGAGAGAAAGCGGGATCTTCTATCCTCTGGTTCATTCCTCAAATGGCCACAACAGCCAGAGCTGAGCTGACCCAAAGCCAAGGTCCAGGAGCCTCCTCCATGTCTCCCATGCAGGTGCAGGGTCCCAAGGCTTTGGGCCATCCTTGACTGCTTTCCCAGGCCACAGGTAGGGAACTGGGTGGGAAGTGGAGCTGTCGGGACCAGAACCGGCACCCATACGGGATCCTGATGTGTTCAAGGCAAGGACTTTAGCCACTAGGCCACCACGCTGGGCCTGGCAGGCTGATTTTTTTTTTTTTAAAGATTTATTTTTATTATTTTTTCATTGGAAAGGCGGATATACAGAGAGGAGAGACAGAGAGGAAGATCTTCCGTCCGATGATTCACTCCCCAAGTGAGCACAACGGGCCGATACTATGCCGATCCGAAGCCAGGAGCCTCTTCTGGGTCTCCCACGCGGGTGCAGGTTCCCAAAGCTTTGGGCCGTCCTCGACTGCTTTCCCAGGCCATAGGCAGGGAGCTGGAAGGGAAACGGGGCTGTCGGGATTAGAACCGGCGCCCATATGGGATCCCGGGCGTGCAAGGCGAGGACCTTTAACCACTTGCGCCACCGCGCCAGGCCCCAGGCTGATTTTTAAGTTGATAATTTTGTGTGGCCTGTGACTGATGTAAATATTGAGAAAGTCCTTGGAGAAAAAAGGTTCCTCCCACCAGTGCTAAAAATTTGTGTGCTACAACTTTCTCTTATATTCTTGTTTATTTCATTCTGTTCTATAGCCTCAAAATAGATTTTTAAAAAAATGATTGATTTATTTGTTTAGAAAGACAGAGTTACTGAGAGATCTTCCATCTGCTGGTTCACTCCTGCAGCAGGCAGGGCTATGCCAGGTTAAAGCCTAGAGCCAGGTACTTCTTCTGGGTCTCCTGTGTGGGTGTAGGAACCCAAAAACTTGGGTCATCTTCCATTGCTTTTCCCTGGCCATTATCAGGGCATTGGATCAGAAGTGGAGCAGCTAGGACACTGACCAGCACTCATATGGGATATTGGTGCTTGCAGGCAGAGGACTAACCTAGTGAGACATTTTGCCAGCCCCATGGTTCCATTTAAAAGTATTTGTTAATTTCATATATAATTTTTTAATTTACCTGAAATTTCTTTTGAAATCTGAGATAGGGTATTATCTATTACTGTGCTACTTCAAATTTTAGTGTATTATAATATTTAATTCACAAAGTCTGAGTGCTGTTTACTTGGATCCGCTGACTCTGAACCCTTCCGGGGAAGGAGCCACTCCCTGGTTCCCTTATGAGACTCAGCACAATTTGTTCCTTTT